GTGCTGAGTATCAGAGCACTCAGTGTCACAGGCTCAGAGATAAGGAAGGGCTGGGGTAATTATAAACAATGGTTTGGACAAGGAATCAGCTCAGAATGACAACCCCGAGTCTTTTTTTCTTGGTTATTCTAGATTGTTTCTGCTCCAAATACAATATCCTTGGTTGAGAAAATCCATTCATTGAGCAGTGTATCCCTAGCACTTAGCTGTAGAACCTGGCTGGAAGAAAGGTTCAATGTTTTTGCTGATGAATCGAAACAACTTATAAATACGGCTGCCATCATCTCTCCTGTGGCCTTGATCCAGCCGTTGTTGGTAAATGTTTTTCAGTCCTCTCCCCAAGAGGGAGAAAAACCCATTTTGCAATTTGCCAGTTTGTATGGTGTAATCACCATGGCTGATTTCAAGCTATCAATGTGATGTCAATAAATGCAACATTGAGAAGAGATGCACAGAATCAGCTCTTGGGAGCTGGCGGACAGAAGCTCAAGTTCCTCTCATCTTAGAAAATAAAATCCTGTCCTCCCCTCCTCAAGCTTTATTTTCTTCCAGGTAATACGCACATCACCTCCTGATCTCAGCTGCACTAGCAGGAAGTGCTAGCTGTTCTCTCATCCTCTGCTCCCTCCTTGCCTACCAGACTCCCACCCCACTCCTTCATTCCACCAAAATGCCCTGGGCCTTTAAAACATTAAATCCGGTGTTTCCAGTCTCAGCTAAAAATCTCTGAAGGATCTACCTTCACGGCCTTCTCTTATCAAGATCTTCATGAAACCATAACAGGCATCCCTGTCTCCCTGGCTCAACCTTCCTCCTGGCAACCTTTATTCAGAGCTTCTCCTCCCTTCCCTTCCCCCACGCTACTCTGCCAAACCTCTTGTGACAATGACTCCAAACACAAATCTCCACCTCGGAATTCTCCCTGACCTCTAGGTCATATGTCACCTGACTCCTTGGTCTGTTTTCCTAGCAGTTTCAAAAACTGCACCCGGAACACTGCCCCTTTCCCCCTGCCAGGTTGCCCTGCTGCAGTATTTTCCATCTGCTTGCTCGGACCAGTCAGTCCAAGAAGAACACCTTCTTTTTCCTAATCTCCCATGTCCAGTCCAGCTAACTTCTGTCAGGCTTGTTGATTTTAACTTCTCACTTAAATGTGTGCACTTATGTCTCAAGACACGCAGTCATCATCTGCTGCCTGGAGCACTATTGGCCCCTGTTTTCATGTTGTCTTGCTGCAGTCCATACTTCCATGCAGCCAGGTGGGATTTTTAAAACAGATTTAGTCATGCGCCTGTCTCCACTTTGCCACTTCAAACCCTTCAGGATTTGCCCTTGTCCTTCATATAAAACCAGATCTAAAATTAAGTCCACCAGGATCTGCCTGCATGGTAAGCCTAGCCCAACCCCTCTCTCCAGCTTTGCCATGCTACCCTTTCTGCCCTGCTTGTATCCGTCATAGCGCCATTTGTAATCTCAGATTCAGGTACATGATTATCTGATTATGAATGATTTCTCCACCAGGCTATGGGCCCCCAGGACAGGAATAGTGTGTCTCTGGGTCACTGATGTCCCACAGCATCTGGCAGAGAGTGGGCACCTGAAAACACTTAGGAGCATCCTGGTTCCAACAAAGCAACTGTTAAAAAAAAGACATTTCTAAGGGACTTCCTTGCAGTCCAGTGGTTAGGACTCCGTGCTTCCACTGCAGCAGGCCCTGGTTCAGTCTCTGCTTGGGGAACTAAAATTCTGCAAGCCAGGTGGTACAGCCAAAAAAAAAAAAAAAAATTTTGAGATAAGCTAGGACTGTGGGATTGAGCACTGGATTAAGGAATTACTACTGATTTTATTGGACATGATAGTGGTGTTGTGGCAATGTCTTTTTAAAAATCCGTATCTGTTGGAGAGATAAGTTAAAGAATTTATAGGTCAAGCAACATGATGTCTGGGACTTGCTTCAAAGGACTACAGCTGAAAGTAAATAAATAATTATTCAGTAAGGGAACAAAGGAATAAATAAATGCCATTCTGCTTGTCCATTCTTGTTCACAGCTACAGGGCCTGCAAAGATGCTGGCTGTCCCGGAGATGGACTTACAGGGGCTGTACATTGGTAAGACCTGCCCCCTCACCTCCATCTAGGCCCACTGTCCCTGTCACCCCAGCACTCAGACCAACCCCTAGTCTGTCCACCTGCCTCTCTCAGCGGAGGCTCCTGAGAGCCATTCGTGAGTGTGTGTGCACGGGGCAGGTTAGTGCAACAGGACTATGTATGTGAGTGTGTGTGTGTGTGTGTGTGCACACTCTGTAAGCCTGTTCATGGGACCCCCGAGTGTCTACAAGTATGTATATGCAGGGCAGGCCTGTGTGCACAGGGCTGTATGGGTGTGCATGTGTTTTGTGCAGGGTGTGTGTGTAGTATGTGTGAGTGTGTGTCCCTGCCTGTCTGCCTAAGGGCAGGTCTCTGGGCACAGGGTCTCAAGTGAGAGTGTGTGTATATCTGCACAGAACTCTGTGCATGCACGTCTGGCCTGGTCTGGGAGCAGGCTCTGGGTTTTGTGCAGGGGAGGGAGGCCAGGCGGCAGGACAGACACGCCTCAGGAAGTCCACTCACAAAGACCTGGTGGGCTGGGCCTTCCTTCCTGCCTCCCTTCCCAGGCTCAAGCCACAGCAGCTTGGCCCAAGCCTGCACCGGTCGGCTAAGAAAAAGGGCCTCTGGAAGTGTGACCACCATGTCCTTGCCCCTCCAGCACTGCAAGACAGATGCCAGCCCTGTGCAGGCACTTCCTAGAGTCCCCTTCATGCCCCGCCCCTCACATATGTTCCCAGGGTACCCCAAGGCCAGGGTGGCCTGGGACTTGTCAGGGCCCCATGGCTGTGGCTGAGGGAGTAGAGGCCCCAGCCCTGGCTCAGCCTAAAGCTAGACAGGCCTGTTTGATTTGCCAGTGTGTCCAAATGCCAGACCCCACCAATCTCCCTGGCCAGCCTCCTGTCCCCCCACACAGATCTCAGGGCAGCCCCAGTGCTCTGCACAGGGACCTCAGCAAAGGCCAGTGTGGTGGTGTTGGGCCACCAGCCCATACCTGGGGGATGTCCAGCCAGGCAGGCCCTCCTGCCTCCTGAACTGCCTGAGCCTCCAAGCCAGCTGCCTTCTGGGGGCTGCACTGCTTCCTCCCACCAAAGGTTCAGGTCTGTGCGTGTTGTGGGGGAGGGGAGCTTGGAATCTGCCCTCCTCCTCGGCTCAGGGCTGCTCAGGGCAGAGCTGGGCCTGTCCATGACCCTTGGGGGCAGAGGGTTGGTAGGAGAGGCAATTCCCCCAGGTCCTGATGAGAACATGAGGCTGAACTTAACGGGGAGAGGGGCTGCTCCACCTCCCACTCAGGTCTGTAGTTCCCCCACCTCTTCCGGTTTCTCCATCCTCACCCAGGAGCTCACCTGCCCCTCTCTCCTGCCCTCTATCTTTGGACTCAGTCCAGCCCACCCCCCACAATGCTTCTCTATCCCTCCCCTTCCCCGCGGTGTCTGACGGGTGCCGAAGAAGACAGTGAGTCCTAGGTGAAGTATGAGTCGCCCTTCAGCAACAGGTCGCCTCTAACTGATAACGGGCCCTGAGCCCAGGTATCCCCCACCCCCACCTCAGTCCTGTCCTTCCTACCTTCCCTCCCTAGTCCTTCTTCCCCAGCAGGGTACCCCTCACCTTGGCCCGGCAGTGACTGATGGAGAACCCCCACACCCAGGACCTAGCCAGCAGCCCCTTACCCTGATTGTACCAGAGTGATCTGTGTTCTCTTTTCAGGCTCCAGCCCACAGCGGTCTCCAGTGCCCAGCCCACCTGCCTCCCCAAGGACCCAGGAAAGCTGTGGCATTGCCCCTCTCACACCCTCACAGTCTCCAGTAAGCCTAGGGCAGGGCTTGGGATGGTGGGGGGCATGGGTGGTGGGGAGGGTCACACTGGCGTCTAGAAGAGCTTGCAAGTCTGGGCTGGGAATACCACCATGCCTCCTGCCCCTATATACTCATGTTCTCCCCAGATGGGTTAGCCTTAGGTGACCTTGGACTATAGGAGTGACAGTTTTACTGAGATGAACCCCCTCCAGGATGACATCCAGGAACTTTTGCAACTAGCCTGCCTTGGCAGGTGTACTTCTGAGCAACTAGTTTTGTAGGTCCTCAGAGCACTGGTCCTCCCAGACTTGCTTCCCCTCCTGTCAACCACAGCCCCACCTTATTAAAAGATACATCTAGGGAAGAGGAGACACATGGCTAAAAAATAGTTTGGTAACTGCTAGCTTGAAATATCTTAAGACTTAACCATCACCCCCAAATTCCCTAAGTCACCCTACCCAGGGTGGCCTCACCCTAGTGATCCAACCTGGGGACTCCCTTGTTCTCAGGGAGCCCAGTCCTAGCCTGGGAGAAGGTAAGGACCACTCTGGGGCACATGCATGGGGTTCTCTTCTCTGCCACAAAACTGGACAGAGTCAGGCTATTTCACTGTGGCCACAAAGAGCAGGAGGGTCTCATATACACAGGTCCACGTGCTCTGAAGCTGCTCAGAGCAGCAGGACTGCTTCCAGCTGGGCCCAGGCTGGAAGTGATGTAAGATGGGGCTGGGGCTAAGGCAGCCCAGGCAGAAGGGCAGGGAAGTAGGAACTTGAGCTCAAAACTTCATGGGGCTACCTGAGAGGCCTTGGGCTTTCTGAGCACTTAGCAACTCAAGGGCTCAGCCTGGAGCTTAGGAGGGGAGAGAAATCAGGCAGGAGGTCGATGGGGGTGGGCCAGGGCTGGTCTGGACCACAAGGGGTGGGGAGGACTTCCACGTACAGCCAGCCTAGCCCTCTGGCTGCTCCCTGACTAGGTCTTACACTTGCAGAAGCCCGAGGCCCGAGGCCCTCAGCAGGCCCCCTTCTCCGTGGTCGTGGCTATCGACTTTGGCACCACATCCAGTGGCTATGCCTTCAGCTTTGCCAGTGACCCTGAGGCCATCCACATGATGAGGTGAGAGTAGTTGGACTGGGAGATTGGTTGGGGGTAGTCCTGCACGCTGGGAGAGACCTAGTCCCAGAAGTACTGTCACTAAGGAGATATGGGGTCTTCTCAGAGAAGCTTTCCAGCCCTAGTCTGGGCTCCCTACTGGGGCAAAAGTTTGGAGGATGGGCCCCAGGTCTGGGCCCTCAGCCCCAGTTGGGGCAGTTCTTTGACCTCTGCAAGAAAATGTTGGGCTTCATTTTTTATTTTCATGTTGGGCTTCATTTTTTATTTTCATGTTGGGCTTCATTTTTTATTTTCAATTTTTAATTATTTTTTCTGGGCTAGTCATAGGGATACACATGTATGCACAAATACGTGGTTTCAAAATAAAACATACAACTTGCTTTAAGCTTTCAGCACTAGTTTGTAGATGTCTCATGTGAATATGGAGAGAGCCACCATTTTCTTTTCATTGTTGCACAGTATTCCACAGTTCGGATGTATCATAATTTATTCATTCTTCTGTTGATAGTTTCGAGGAAGTTTTTCCTTCTAAGTTTTCACCATTACAAAAAGTGTTGCAGTGAATACTCTTCCTTGGAAACTTGTGCTGGAATTTCTATGTGGTAGGTTCCTAGAGGCAGTCCTAGGTTCAACATCTCAAATGAAATACAAGGAAATGAAGGACTAGAGAGGTTAGCTGAATTGACAAGTCACACAGTTGTCATGAAAGAGCTGTTTGAAAAAATCCATTCTGATGAATTTTGTTGTTTTGTTTGAACAAAACATTTGTTTGATACCTTCCTTCAGGCCTGATCCTTTGAATGTATCTTAGTAAGACTGTAGCCTGTAGGTGGAAGATGCCAAAGCTCCCAACTCAGACTGGGATGGAGGATCAGCAGGCTTCACCAGGGCCTGGCAGGCTATATTGAAAGACAGCCAAGGGTCACTGCCCCAAAGATACAGGGGACTTGACCTGCATGAATGTGGACTGTCCTTCCCCTTTCTCTGCTCCCTCCACATCCATGTGAGGCCACAAAGGCCCTAGGACCTTAGAGTTCTCTAGGGGCTGAATGGCATCCCAGCTTGTCAGCACACACAGCTGAGGCCACGCTGGGCCTGTTGCTAGCGCTGAGGACACCTGAAGGGATACTGTGGAGAAAACAGTCACAGGAGTGACTGGGGGACATCCTGGCCTCCTCCCAAGCCCTTCCCACTCCCACTAGCCACCAAGCCCCATCATTTCTATCTCCCTAATATCTCTGTAATACCCATCTACTTCTCTCCACCACTTGCACCCCTGAGTTCAGCCCCACCCTCTCTCACTTGAATGGCTGCAATATCCTCCCTAGTTTCTCTTCTCCACTCTCCCTTTCCTCCGCTGTGTTGCTACATGGGGACCAGAGACATTTCTAAATGTGGTCATGCTTCTTCACTCCCTTAAAACCCACCAAGACAGAATTCTGGTATGACATTTGATACTCCTTAGTTGATCTTAACATTGCTGCTTTGAGTCAACTTATAGCTAGTTCTCCCCACTCTTTGACACCTCTATAAACTTGCACATGCTCTTCCTTCTCCCTGGATTCTTAGTTCCTTCCCCCAATGGATGCAATGGTAAGCTTGACCTAGAGAAGTCAGGGCATCAGAAAAGGCAGAGGAAGGGGAGGAAGGATTTGCCAGGCCAATGACCTGGGCAGTGAGTTGTGGGTGGAGGTCCAGATGATGACTGCATACAGGGAGGTTTGGAATCTCAGGTTTTGAAGGTGCAGTCAGCTGGGGTGTACCTGCTGAGGTGGGCCAGGCAGGAATGATCATAGTGCTTAGCTATGTGGAAGATGGCTTAGAGGAGGGCATCCAGCTGGCTTGGAGAAGGCCTCTGCCAGGGTCCTGGAGAGACACATCAGAAGGCCAGACAAGGCAGATGGATGATAGCCTGCTGCTACTTGTTAAAAGGACAGGGAGGTGAAGTCAAATGGTGTACTTCATGGGAGGGAGCAGAAGCTGAGGATGTCGGATGGGACCCATGGCTCCATGGATAGAGATGATCCCATGAGCAACATTTATGGAGATTTAAGTGGATGCCAAGCACCATATTCACAAGAACCCTAAAAGGTAGGTACCGTTATTATTCCCGTTTTACATATGGTGCCTGGGGAAGCCAAGTGAGCTGCCCGAAGTCACACAGCTGGTCCCAGAGCCAGCACCCAACCCCATGAAGGGAAGATTACTGCTGACCACACTGACAGCCTTCTGCCTCCACAGGAAATGGGAAGGTGGGGACCCAGGTGTGGCCCACCAGAAGACCCCTACCTGCCTGCTGCTGACCCCAGAGGGTGCCTTTCACAGCTTTGGCTATACAGCCCGTGATTACTACCACGATCTGGACCCTGAGGAGGCTCGTGACTGGCTCTACTTTGAAAAGTTCAAGATGAAGATCCACAGTATCACTGTGAGTCACATTCTGGCTCAGGGCCCAGCTCCAGCCAGGAAGGCAGGGCTAGGAGGGAAAGCAGGGAGGGAGACCTCATGGAGGGTGGGCAAAGTTAAAAGGTGAGGGGGGCCTGGAGACAGAGTTTGAACAGAAGGGATGGAGGCATGACCACGGGGCATGAAAAGGTAAGAAGAAGGGCTGGGGAGAAGAACTGCCATAAGATTAGAGCCAGAGTGGGACAGTACCAAAGAGGGGAGCACAGGAAATGGGGTTAAATATAAGAGGCTGTCAGGAAATGGAGAGCTGTGGCCTCGACAGAGTTGCCCTGTGTCCCTGCCAGGATCTCACTTTGAAGACCCAGCTAGAAGCAGTAAACGGAAAGAAAATGCCTGCCCTGGAGGTGTTCGCTCATGCCTTGCGCTTCTTCAAGGAGCATGCCCTTCAGGTGCACTGTGACCCTCTCTGCTTACTGGGGTGGACGACCCCCAGGTCCATCCTTTCCCCTCAGCCCATCCACTGAGTAGCCACTGTCAGAAGACAGGGGTCATCTTCTCCAGTCCTCTGCCTTCCTATCTGGTAGCCCTGCATCAGGTGTTGGGGAGGTGGTGGTGGTGGTGGGAAAGGGGGTGTTAAGATTCTCCCAAGTCAGCTGGGAAGTTCTTCCTCAGGCCTGATTAGCTCCTCCAGCTCCTGTAAGGACACTCCCCTCAGACCAGGCCAGCCCTTCCCTTCACTGCCCCATCCTGCTCCAGGAGCTGAGGGAGCAGTGCCCATCACTGCTGGAGAAGGACACTGTGCGCTGGGTGTTGACCGTACCTGCCATCTGGAAACAACCAGCCAAGCAGTTCATGCGGGAGGCTGCCTACCTGGTGAGAACATGCCGGCAGAGTTGTGGGTGTTGCTCGGAAGGGCCCTGGGCATGGCGCCATACCCTCATTCATACACCACCCTTGGGACCACAGAGCCATCGTGTAAAGACTGCCAACCCCACCCTGCTGGGCATTTTGGAGGGTTGTTGCCACCAAGAGAGGGGGTGGGCCTCTAGGAACAGAGAGCTGAGGGACAAGGGACAGCCCAGGCCAGCTTAACCAGTGTCTTAATGCAGCTTTCCTAGAAGCAGAGTCCAAGATGGGAATTCTTGTGCATGTGGTGTATTGAAGGACTCTCAGGTGAAAGGGGAGTGAGGAAAGCAGGACAGGAGAAACAGCTGAACAGGGATGGATCTCATCTGGAGTCTAGCCTCAGCCTGATCCCATGGAGAGCTCTGGAGGGAGAATGTACCCTAGTGTAAGGCACAAGGAGGCAAGAGGGGTGGCTTTTGGTCCATCCTTATCAGTCTGTCACTGGTAACTGGTTGGGTTAAGCTCCCCCAAGTGAGGTAGTTCCCATTCAGTTGAAGGCAGTTCTCCAGAGAAGGGGCAATGGGGAGCTGATAGGCAACACTCACAGTAGCTGGGCAGGACACCAGGAACATCCACTTTAGCCAGCATCAATATTTTTACCACAGCCCCAACCATTTTAAGTTCTTGAGCAGAGGAAATAAGACTATGAAACTATGAAGGGAGGTGATTTGGGCCAATGTTTGCTGATCTTCCTACCATAAGAGAGGCCCAAAGTTCTGGAGAAAGGGGGACTGCAGTTCAGGCACCCCCCCCTGCCCCCAGTGGAGATGGGAAGGTTGGAGGGGGACTCATTGTTTGATCCTGCCCCTGAAACTGGGGCCTGGGGGGGGGGGGACACCCGAGGATTTCCAAAAGCAATCTCAGGAATTCCAGAACCCCCAACCCCCAGAAACATACCTTTTCCCAGGTGTCAAATCCACAGGTGCCCTCACTTGTCTCTGGAAGGAGCTAACCCCAAGACCGGTGGGCATCCATCCCCCTTTCAGAGACCAGAGTGAAAGCATGGCCATGCCCAGCCAGAACAAATGCCCCCATCCCAGTAGCCCCCTGCTGGTTTACCCACCCTGCCTCCTCCCACACTGTTCCCTGGCTGTCAGTTCAGAAAGGGCTGGCCCTGGGCAGGAAGTCTTGATACCCACTACCCCATCCCCCCACCTGGTCAGAATCTGAGGAACCCCACAAAACCATAAAGTACTTCCTATGGGGATCCCCTGTCCTGATGCAGGAAGTAACAGAAGGTGTCTTTCCCCCCCTAGCTTGCTTGCCTTGGTGCCTGAAATTTCACTGCTAAAGTGTCTTTTCTCCTATATCACATTCCTTGGGAACAAAGTTCTCAAGAGAGTGGAGAAGCCCATGGCCACTGTCCATTACCAGTGAAGAAAGGGCGTTCAGTGAGCTAAAGGGGACTCCCCCACCATCCCCTCTGATTGATGCTCTGGCCATTATACCCCCTAATACACTGTACTGGAGTCTCCACTAACCCCCTCAGCCAGTGGTCAGCTGCTAACCCAGGACTTGTGAAGGGGACCTTCCTGCAGCCCAGGGCCACCTTGGGCAGCCTGGGGCGGATCCCAGGTGCTCTAGGTTTTCACTCAGTCTAAGGTCCCTCCCTGCTGGGCAACCCCATGGCATCCTTGGCCACAGCCATCCCTCCCACCCCAAGCCTGGTCATAGGGTGGCTCTGAGACAGCTCCAAATCTGTGCAGCATGGAAGGGCCTTGAGAGGCCTAGCGTGAGTGCACTATATTGGGGAGGAGATAAGAGCCCCACAAGCCCTGGTTGCCTGCCCTGAGGTGCCATTTCAGTGTGATGCCTGGTCCATGATGCTCCCCAACCCTGCCAACCACCATCAGGCTGGACTAGTGTCGAGAGAGGATGCAGAGCAATTACTCATCGCCCTGGAGCCCGAGGCTGCCTCTGTCTACTGCCGCAAGCTGCGTCTGCACCAGCTCGTGGATCTGAGTAGCCGAGCTCCAGGCAGAGGGTGCCTGGGCGAGCGCCGCTCCATTGACTCCAGCTTCCGTCAGGGTGAGCCAACCCCAGGGGTGCTGCCTAGTGGTGGCCTTGGAGGCAGGCACTGAAGACTATACCATGCCCTAGAGTAGCACTGTCTGAGGATGGTAAGACTCAATCCAACCCTGAATCTGAGATGGGGAGTAGGGGTGGGGGTGGGGCTAGGGGTGGTGACAGCCTACCCTAGGAAGAGGTGCTGGGGTTACTGACAAAGTTACTCTGAGCTGAAGGTGGAGGTCTTCAGCTTTCCCTTAAACAGCTACTGAATCAGTTTTCCCTCCCATCCTGGCATGTCAGCTGTCCCCCCATCCCCACAAGCCCCAGGCTCCTGCTGCCAGGACTAAGCACTGAGACTGCTGTAGTCAACCTTCTATGATAGGGACAGGTCTCAGGATCTCCCCTCCTCCCCAGTTCCTCTGCTGCTGCTGCTGCTAAGTCACCTCAGTCGTGTCTGACTGTGTGTGACCCTATAGACGGCAGCCCACCAGGCTCCGCCGTCCCTGGGATTCTCCAGGCAAGAACACTGGAGTGGGCTGCCATTTCCTTCTCCAGTGCATGAAAGTGAAAGTGAAATTTCAGTGAAGTCGCTCAGTCGTGTCTAGACCTTCCTAATTCTGATTTTGCCATGGCCTGAGCCCCTCTATGATTAAGGCAAGGTCTTGCAGCCTCCTGACCTCACTGTCCTGCTGTCCCTCAACACTCAGCCCGAGAGCAGCTTCGAAGATCCCGTCACAGCCGGACATTCCTGGTGGAGTCGGGTGTTGGAGAGCTGTGGGCCGATATGCAAGCAGGTGGGGGAGGCAGGGGAGATGGAGGGATATTCCTTGGGCCCTGTGGGATACCAGCTACTGAAGGTGGGAAAACATTCCTGAAGTCAGCTCTATCCTCTAGGAACCCTGCCCCTTCCAACTCCATAGCTATACCTAAGCTGGTAGTCCCCCTCACCATCACCTGCACTCCCACCCCCACTCACAGCCATGCCACTAACCCCCACTCCTCCCGAGGATTCTCTGCAGATGGAGTTGCAGAACCCTGGAGCCATTTTCCCTCACACCTTGTGCCCCTACCTGGTGACCTGAAGCCCCTTTCAACCATAACCCCCACAGCCCTGCAGACAGGGCTCAGGACCTGGGGCAGGGCTGAAGGCTGGTTGAGTCTCCAGAGGGTCTAGAGCTAAACGGCCACAAGTGTGTGCTCATGCTCGCCCCCACAGGAGATCGCTATGTGGTGGCAGACTGTGGGGGAGGCACAGTGGACCTGACTGTGCACCAGCTGGAGCAGCCCCATGGCACCCTCAAGGAGCTCTACAAGGCGTCTGGTGAGTAGCCAGGCAGCGCCCTTGGTACCCAGAGCACCCTTGCCCTGCCAGCACCTCTCCTGGCAGTGGAATGAGCACTGTTGCCCTCTTCCTCCCCTGCTGGACGCTAGGTGGGCCCTGCGGCGCAGTGGGCGTGGACCTGGCTTTTGAGCAGCTGCTGGGCCGCATCTTCGGTGAGGACTTCATCACCACCTTCAAAAGGCAACGTCCAGCAGCCTGGGTGGATCTGACTATAGCCTTCGAGGCCCGCAAACGCACTGCAGGCCCACACCGTACAGGGGCGCTCAACATCTCCCTACCGTTCTCCTTCATTGACTTCTACCGTAAGCAGGGAGGCCACAACGTGGAGACAGCCCTGCGCAAGAGCAGGTGAGCGGGGGGACCGCCCCTACAGGGGGAGGCAGTAGGGGATCCACTTGATCTGGCCCAGGCACAAGTCATGCCAGCCCAGGTGAAGGCAGGGGGAGGAGCATGAGTACTGCAGCTGAAATCTGCAGCGCAAACTGAGGCAAGAGGATCCTGAGCCCCCAGGGAAAAGCCAGTATCTATCTCCTGTTCCCCACAGCTGTACACACACACACACACACACACACACACACACACACACACACCCCTACCTATCTAAGCCAATATCTATCTCCTGTTCCCCACAGCTGCACACACACACACACACACACACACACACACCCCTACCTATCTCCTTTTCCCTGCAGCCATACATACACACACACCTGCCAGCCAACCAGTCTGTGTTCCTCTGCTTGAGGCAAAAGGAGACTCCTTTCCTGGGACCTCATGTCTGGACCTGGAACAGACCTGAGTCTAAAACCCCTGCAAGTGTGGTTGGTACAATACAGAATGTGCCCAGGTACTTCAGCCTGGAATAGAAGTAGGACCTGGGCCCTGACCCATGGGCCTGTGCCTCCTTCACCATCTACAGCGTGAACTTCGTGAAGTGGTCCTCACATGGGATGCTCAGGATGTCTTGTGAGGCCATGAATGAACTCTTTCAGCCCACCGTCAGCGGGATCATCCAGCACATAGGTGAGCGCCTGAGCTTGGGTCGTTCTTTCACCTTAGCATACACACCCACATGCGAGCGTATTTCCCTCTATTAGTACCTGGAAACCTCCCCAAATTCATACACTGGATTGAGACCCAGAATCATCAGGAATACCTGAAGGATGTAGTGCCCTGGGGATTAATAGGATGATGTGTAGTCTTGCCAGGTTAAAGTAACTCTAGTGGCTGACTCCCCAAGTAGTATTAGGTCTCTCCCAAACTGTTATCACAGTGATTTAAGTTAAGTTTAAGTATCTAAAGAGTAAGTACAATGTCTTGCATGCAGTAGGCATTTAATACATGTAAATTCACACCCTTACTCAAGGCCTCCACAGTGTAGTGGGAAAGCCAGATAGTATTGAGGAAGCAGAGGCCATGAGGATGGCAGAGTCCCTCATGAAAGTGCTCTGTGTTTTTCTTCATCCAAACCAGGCTAAGGTTTTATAGTGAAATGGCTAGTTTCTTGTTGCCCCAGGGATACAGGAGGGCAGAAGGGAAGCGCCAATGGCTGCGCAGCGGTAGCCTCAGGGGCCCACTCCCCGTACGCCTTCCTTACCCCCTCCCCACCCGTCCCCGCAGAAGCACTGCTGGAGCGCCCTGAGGTGCAGGGTGTCAAACTGCTGTTCCTGGTGGGCGGCTTCGCCGAGTCGGCTATGCTGCAGCACGCAGTGCAGGCAGCTCTGGGCGCCCGTGGCCTGCGTGTGGTGGTTCCGCACGACGTAGCCCTCACCATCCTCAAAGGCGCAGTGCTTTTTGGGCAGGCGCCGGGAGTGGTTCGGGTGCGTAGATCGCCGCTCACTTACGGCGTGGGCGTGCTCAACCGCTTCGTGGCTGGTGTTCACCCACCTGACAAGCTGCTGGTTCGTGACGGTCGCCGCTGGTGCACCGACGTTTTTGAGCGCTTCGTGGCCGCCGAACAGTCGGTGGCCCTGGGCGAGGAAGTGCGGCGCAGCTACTGCCCAGCGCGCCCAGGACAGCGGCGAGTGCTCATCAACCTATACTGCTGCGCCGCGGAGGACGCGCGCTTTATCACCGACCCAGGAGTGCGCAAGTGTGGCGCACTCAGCCTAGAGCTTGAGCCAGCCGAGGGAGGCCCCGACGCCGCCGGAATGCCCCCCGGCCGCCGCGAGATCCGTGCTGCCATGCAGTTTGGCGACACTGAGATTAAGGTCACCGCTGTCGATGTCAGCACCAATCGCTCCGTGCGCGCCGCCATCGACTTTCTTTCCAATTGAGGGCGCAGTGCCAGCAGCCCCTCGGCCCAACAAAACTCTTTTGGCCCAGGGCTAGGGCAGATAAGTCCACCCTGTTTCCCGCCTTCCTGCCCTGGGAGATGAGGTCGCTGGAGGGATGGGTGGGGACACATCCAGAAACTCAGGCTTTGGGATTGGGCCTCAGTCCTCTGACGGAAAGGCTGAAGGGCACTTCCAAGGACTGAAGTCAAGGAGACTTAAAAGGTTTGCAAAGCATCCCCACAGGGAGCACGTGGTCCTGAAAGCAGACTGCACCAGAAGGCTTGACCCTTGGTCTGAACTAGGGGCCAGGGTGGGAGTGGGGGGTGAGGGTGGGGTTACAGCTGCAGGCAGGGCAGCAAGAGGGAGGAGGCTGTGCAGGGTCTGGAGCCGAAGGGCAGAGTGCTCTGACTGGCTCAAGCCTGCATAGGGAGCCAGGCAGGGCAAGGACTGAAGCTGACAGGAGAGGGACAGAAGTAGCAGGACCTACCTTCCTGGGTGTGGTGCTGACCACCCAAGTATGAATGTTAATTGTAGAAAGGGCAGTAGCAGGCTATGAGAAGGGTACAGGCGAGGGGGATGTGGGATAACATGCTGAGGGGGGCTTTCCTTTGGGGCCTGCCTGAGAAGGCCCCAGGGGCAGCCTGGGAATGATCCACATACTCTCAGGTCATGGAGAGGGAAGAGAGCAGGGAGGACAGAAAGAGCACTGGTCGCAGCTCTGACATCAATTTAGTGTACCTGCCCTCCCGTGACATGCAGCAGTCCCACCTGCCTGAGAGCCCTAAGGTGACAATAAAGCTCAAGGTGAAACCATGGCCTCCTGGTATCTCACAAGGGGGGACTCCAATAATGGAGTAGTGGAAGGGGGCTGGGTTCTACAAAGGCAGGTTTTCAGCTGTGCATGGAGCTGGGAAATGACTAGAAAGGAGTGCTGCTGTCTCCCATCAAGCCCTCCAAACAACACCCCACTCCACAAGACCCCTCTGTGACCTGGGTGGAAGGCCCCTCCCCGTGCAGGCTTTGTTGTCTTGGCAGGCCAAAAATGCCACCACCCGCACATACCTCTTTTGGGGTTAGGTGCTATAATACCACAAAGAAACTCTGCTTCCAAAGAGAGTAAATAGCCAAAACTCTTCCTTGGCCCATCTGCAAGGACTGGGCATTCTCAGGGCCCTGGAGAACAAAAACCCTGCTGGCCTCTGGTATCCACTGGAAGTTTTATTTCTTCAGGATTTTATCCCAACCAGTCATTTAAAAACAACACAGACCTAGGGGGCAGGGATTGGGGACTGCATCTCCCTCCTCCTCACCATGGACAGCAGTGGAAAAAAGGGAGTAGACAGGAGAGGTGGCTAAAGCGAGACAGCAGCAGTAGTAATAGGGACAGCTCTACCACAGAGCCAGCTCCCTCCTCTCCTAGGCTCAGACTAGAGCCCTTATGGCTCGGGGTAGGGGTGGGTATGACCCACCCCAGGCCCTCCTCAGATAGCCTCCTTGGGGGCTCAATCCATTTCTTCCAGCAGGAGGCTGAGGCACACAGGAGAAAGTGGGAGAAGATGTTGGAGAGAAAGGGAGGTGGCACAAATGAGATGAGAGGCCCTTGGACCCTCCACCTCCACACCCACCCTGGGGAAGGGTGAGGAAGCCACACCGTCACGCAGCATTTGGGGAGATGAGGTTGGGTTTAAGGCTGAGGGGCCCTGAGGCAGGTGGGGCCGAGGGCCTCAGTCGAAGCCGTGCCAGTCACTGTGCTCTGAGTCGTATTCTAGCTCAGCACCCACGCACTTGACACCATCTAGCAGCATGGGTGTGCCGTGGTGTCGGTCTGCAAGACAGGTGACAAGTCAGTATGCCAGGTTGGACCCCAGCCCCACCTACTCCAAGGGGACTCCTCTACCTTCCCTCCCAGCTCTGCTAGAGGATGAGGAGAAAGGCACCCACCAAGGAGACTGGGAATGGGCCAAAACAAGGATCCCCTTTTCAGACTTAAGGAGGGTGGAAACTCCTTGAGGCCAAGCTGGTGCCTCTCTCCTCTAGCCAGACCCGGGCCTCAAGCTCTCACCCATGACGCGCGCCTGCACCATCACGCGCACGCAGGTATTGGTGCCACCTTCACAGGCTAGCAGCATCTCCTCCTTGAGGACGCCCTCCTTGTGCGCGGAGTACTCACACTTGACGCTGTAACCTGCCCAGGGCGATCAGCACCTCTGTGGCCTCCTGCTCCCCAGCATTCACGGGTCCCCACCCACCACCAAGACCTCTAGAGGAGCAAGGATGGCCCAAACTACCCCCACCCCTGCCCCCAGGGCTGGGTACACAGGCCTCTGGAACTTGGCCATTCTTCAGTGAGCTCTACATGTAGGCCAGAAGTCAAACTCAGGCTTGCAAGAGGTGGGATTCCCCAAAAACACAGGCAGGCAGAGAGGGTGACGGGGGAGGGAGGGAGGAGCAGGGCAGGGATTGAGCAGATCAGGTGGCAAGAGGCAAAGACCTGAGGAGACTTGCTCAACCCACTTAAGGGCAAAGTCATGAAGCGGAGGTAGGGGGGACATGAAACTGAAGCTGGGGTTTCTGTAAATGGTGAAACTGATTCCCTAGCCTTTGGGAGGAGGGGTACTGAAGGTGGCAGGGTATGGAAAAGCAGCTTCAGGTCTGGTGGGTGCTGGGAGGTAGCTGCCCAAAGTTCCTGAGGTTCCAGTAGGTTTCCCCTGGCAAAGGAAGGGCTAGAGACCCAGAGCAGTTCCTCAGTAGCTCCCACCATCCCCCTGAAGTAACCATCAGGCAGTGAGCAGACACTGAGCCCGTGGACTTCTGTCCAGGAGTGAGGGCTGGGGCATGGAACCTGCCAAGTTGCCACACAGCAGGCCCATAAAGAGGCATCATGTCTCCTGGTTTCTGAGCTACTCCTCAGCCCTCGATGGGGGGGAAGGAGGTACCCGTGCTGTCACTCCTGCTCACACGCAGGCTCTGCTGGAGGAGGGCACGCCTTCAGCACCCCAAGCAGGGGACGCACCTTCTGGGATGGGCATGATGCTGAGGAGCTTGAGGTGCAGGCTGGGGACAGGCGCGTCTCGGACGTCCTTGCTCAGCCTGTGCACTGGGGGTAGGGTGAAGGTGATCTCATACCTGTGCAGGATCTTCAGGAATCCAACCTGCAGCGGGGGGGGGGCAGGGGACGGAGGCGCCTTCACTCTCAGTCTCCCCCTGGGTCCACCAGGGTGCACCACTGATGGTCCTGTGGGCCCTCCACTTGCTTCCTTGACAATCCCAGGGGATTCTGACTCCCGTCATTCTAGCTGGTTCACACTCCTGGCCTGGCAGCTCCAGGCCCTTTCTCCAAGGACCCCACCCCATCACTTGGCCCATATCTGTCTCATGGGCCCTGAAGTTCCTTGGTGGCCCATTTTGTAGATGATAAAATAGAAGCCAGGAAATGACTGGCTGAAGGCCACAGCGTAGTCAAGCTATAGTCCTCCCTGGACCTCTTGGCTACTCCTGCCACACAGCAAGGCACCAGCCAGTGGCCACAAGGAAGGCTCAAAACCCCACGACACAGGCTATCCACTTGCCCCCACCACTATCCGCATGTGCCCAGGGACACTAGTCCTCTAGTCACTCATGGTGGGGCCACCAGCCAACACAGATAGCACAAGATGGAGGGTGGGTCAGAATCATAAAAACAGATACTAGATGAGCTTTGTCAGCCCAGAGCTGGCCCACAAGGCTGGCACCAGTCATGGAACTTGGAATCCAGCCTGCCCTGCTGGCACATGAACATGGATGGCTGCCCATTCAAAGGCTCACTGTGTCCAACAGCCCTGATTCACAGCCTGGGCAATTTTTGCTGTTCATACACACAGCTTTGCCATCCTCAGAAACTCAGTTGTGTGACAGGTCACAGGCCAGGGTAGCTGTCAGGCAGGCAGGCTGACTGGAGTGCCAGTCCAGGAGGGGCAATGTGCGTGCAGTTATCCACAGCTCACAGGGCACATGCTCTCCTGCTCAGTTTCAGGAAATAGATGGCCCTGTCCTTTGGGGGAGCATTTAACCTTTCAATAGGATCAGTATGATGTCACTGCATGATAAAGCTCAGTCCCTATGGTTCCCACACTCTGCTAAAAGAGGGCACACCTCTCAAGAGGGCTTTCTGGCTATACCTGCCAATGGTGACCCTGTGATCCAGCTGCACCACTTGAAGTATTTCCCTGGGGAAATACTCAGATGTAAAAAAACAAAACCAAACCATCACTGCCCTATTTATAACAGTACAAAATAGAAACAACTGTAACACCAGGAACAGGGAACCAGCTAAATCAATGATGACAGATATAGTGGAATATCAGGCAGTTGTAAAATCTCATGGAAAATTATTTACTGAAACAAACAGGAGATGGATCACAACAAAAGCAAGCAAAAAACAGTATGTACACTAGTATACCAGCTTTTCATTTTTGGAAAGAAAGCTAGAAAGGAAACTGGAATAACACACATCAAAATATTAACCATAGTTATTTCTGGATAGTATGATTGTAGATACTTTTAAATTTCTTTATAGTTTTCTCTATCTTCCAAATTTTCTCTGCCATGGACATGAATAGATTTTGCAATGGGAGGCAGGGAGCTGTTTTTGAAAGTTTGGGTTCATTCTGTTTGCTCCCTTGGGGAAACTATCAGCTCTTGGAGAAAGAGCAAGGGTTTTAGACTTGGGCAGAAATGGCTATGACTCTGGGCCCCTCCTCAGGGTAGTCTCAATAGATCAGACGCCAACCACCATGCTCACCTCCATGCATTCCACAGCTCAACACAGGAGCCCTGGTGTACTGTCCAACCTTAAGGCCTCACTCCCTGTTTCCCTCCAATCCATCCCCTCCAAAGAATTCCTCCTGCCCCTCCCAAATGGATGTGGGATCTAACAGTGTCCCAGCAGTTGGAGGAGCCAAGGGTCTACGAGGTATGGACACTAGAAGAGAGGGAGAAGGGAAAATCATGGGGGTGATAAATACTACTGCAAAGAGCTTAAATCAGCCAGAAGTTTGGCAAAGCAGAGTAAATAAAGTCACACCGTGTTATCAATATAATTAGCCTCACATACATACACCCTTCCATTTCCAGCTCTTTGGGGTGTCAATTGTCTCTACTTCAGAGAAGGAAAACCAAGCTGACCTGCCCAAGGTCACAGAGCCAAAATAGAAGGCCCAGAACTGAACCCAGGCCTGTGACACCAAAGTCTGGACACCTGCCTTCCAATTGCAATGGTTGGGGAGATGCTGATGATAACAGCAGCACCACTCCCATTCAAGTAACATTCTAAGTGCACTCATCTCATCACAGTCTCACACTTCCCATTTTACAGATGGGGAAACCAAGGCCCAGGGAAGGACAAAGATGGAGCCAGCTTAGAGGAAATGGAACAGGCCCAGGAATCTGGGCAGGGCTAGGGAGAAGGTAGAGGGAATATGGCTGATGATTATAAGGGGGAGAGGTATGCACATACCTTGACCAGAAAGCTGCTGTCGCTCTCCTGGGTGACCATGACCACAGAGTCATGCAGCTTCTCATCAAAGTGGACATGACTCTGGGAGCTTTCTGCATCATGGCTTGTTGCAAAGCGGATACTCCGGACTCTGGACTTGTTGCCTACAAAAAGTGGGAGAGGGCTCCAGGGGCTGTTGCCTTCTCGAGCCCCAGGAAACTACTCCACCGCATCGCTGCCCTGCCCCTGTGACTGCCCCTTCATATCAGTCAGCATCCACTGCTGAGCTAGGCCACATCCTACTGGACAGTGGAGATCATAAGGCTTGAGACTCCCATCTGCCCCTGCCTACTTAGTGCTCCCACAGAAAATGCACACCCTGAGAGAAGGTATGGGGGGATTTAGGGATTAGCTAATATGACCCTTCACTTAGAGGGAATGGGGCTGACAGGGAAGACAGTCCTGACTCTGACCAAACCCCAGGCAGTGCGGGACGCAGCCCCAGTGCTCAGGATACCCTGCCCTGTGCTCTCCTTCACGTTTCCAAGCTCCCCATCTCTCAGGGCTTCTCTTCTAGGTCTGCCAGTCCTGAGGCCCTCTGCTTGCCCCTCCTGCTGACCCCCTTGAGAGGGGAGAAGGGCAGAGACAGGAAGGAGCTTGGGCTCCATGGGACCTGGCTGGGGGTGGGAGAAACAGAGGGTCAAAAACCACACTCAGCCCTCCAAGAAAGGGCTGCAGCTTCCTCTAAAACCTCACTACTGATCATTGGCAGGTAAGAAGAACCCAGGGGAGCTCCAGGCCCCCTCCCAGAGACACCTTTCCTTCCTCCGCTTAACCCCTCACATGGCCCTCGGCTGTCCCTCACTGGGTCAGGTTTTCCAAGGCCAGGCAGTCAGGGAGTTAAGGCAGGCAGATTATTAGGAGCTTAGTGGGGGCCTGGGCCAGTCCTTGCCTGGGTTTTTACACACAATGAAGACTCAATGGAGGCCCAAGGGGTCAACCTGGCATTTCCATGTTTCCCTGCTGAGTGCCTCAGATTTAACCCTCATATCCTACCTCACCTAAAACCTTCTATGAGTCCTTCTGGACTCTGAATGAAACCCAAATTCCTCTCCACAACCTGCTGTAGCCCTACTCACTTCAGAGCCTCAGTGCTCACACCAAGCCCCTTGTGCTCCCAACCTCTACAGTGGAACGGGGAGGCTGGAACATGGGGCCACGAGGGCACACACCTCCACAGGTCAGCACACCAAGGTTCCCTGCTAGGGCCTGGGCGTCCCCAGCACAAACACTGGTGTAATTACTGATGTAATATAATTCATGACTCACATTCAGACAGACACACACACACACACACACACACACACACACACAGCCAATGCAGACCCCACATGCAACAATACCCCTTTCCACCAGGGTGCACTAGAAGACTCTACAAACCCCAGCAGGCAGGCACTCACCCTTGTTGGCTGCAGCCATGGACGCCCTCCTGCCACAGGGTGAGACACGCAGCTCCTGCCGGACACCACCGGTCACACTCAGCAGCCTCCCATGCTTCAGGGACACCAGCAGGAGCCTGATGGGTGGGGGGTGCGGAGGGGAGGGCAAGGGTCAGGGCCACTGATGGGCCTGTGGCTGGCGGGAGAGCAGAGATTTCCCTTCAGGAAGAACCCAAACCCCTGAGGCTCTCAGTAGCCCAAGTGGTACCTGCACCCCCTAAGCAGAGGGGGCTTTTGCCCCCTACTCCTCCACCCACTCCACATTTGCCAAAAGCCCTCGCCCTTGCCTGACACACTACTGACCCACAGCCTGGCCAGTATGTACTGAGCTGCAGTTTCTGGGTGTCAAAGCAGCAGCCCAGAACTCTAGTGCCCAGCAAGACCTGAGGCTGGTGGGAAGAGGCAGCCAGCAAAAGAAGGGGACTTCACTGGCACTTTCCAGGGGCCAGTTTTGGTGCTGGTGATCCAGGAGTTGGCCTAGCCCAGACACACAGGTTGTACCATCATACATCCAGAGGTCACAGTATTCTCGCTGCACAAGTCAATCCAGGTCAGAATTAACAGTATGCTTCGAGGGGGTGAAATACGGGGGCCTATATAATAAGACATGTTCTTAGAGCTTTCCCTCCTGGTTATCAAACAGGGCCATATACAGAACAGGCACCTATGACAGGGTTGCCACCCATCAGAACTCACAGTTCAGACTCTGGCTTGATTGGCAGGCCTTCCAGTTCAGCTCCCCAAGGGCAGCCTCAGGGCAGAGGCAGTGGGAGGCACCCCCAGGAAGCCTGTGTAAGCAGCACAGCTCTGAAACACTGGGCTGGGACCATCTCAACATCAAAGAGAATATTATGCAATTGATGTTAACAGATGGAACTATATAAAATCAGAGCATTCACAGTGATTATGAAAAAAAGAAGAAAGCAAAACAAATCCAAACCCTCATTTGTCACTACCGACAATACCAACACCCTAACTCTCTGCTCTGAAAACCGGCAATCTTAAAGAGAACTAATTCAGTCTGTCTCTTGGTCTTTCTTGAAGCCAAATTGCTCTGGTGGTTAAAGGATAGCTCTTTCTTAACAAAGGAATGACTGAATGCTAAATAATTCTGCAACCCCCCCAAAAACAAATGTTGGAAGCAACACTAATTTAGTGGGTGCTAAACCAGGAAGGCGTGGATGCTCACAGATGCACAAGTACCACTGACAGATGACCTCAGGTTAAAGGGAACAAGTTTACCAAGGAGCAAAGTGACATCAGCCAGTCTTGCACTAGTCAGCCTCCTCTCACTCAGAATGGGACACCGGGCACAAGTGTGCCTACTGATGTGAAGCAGCACCAAGTCACAGCACCACTGACGGGGGCAGTTCTGCCCCAAATGTCTAACCTGCAAGCAGAACCAATTAAATGACTCCACAAGAAAGCAAGGAGACAAACCCAGAAGGCCAGATATTCTGCAAGACAAGTGACCTAATTTTAATAAAAGAGGGAAGTTGCTTTAGATAGGAGATGAGCCAACTATAGCCTGTCAGGCTGCCATTGTTTCCTGTTTTTTTTTTGTAAAGTTTTACTGGCATACAACCAAGTACTCATTTGTTTACATGTTGTCTACAATTGCTTTTATTTGTTTCTTTGTTTTGCTGTGCCCTCACAGCTTGCAGGATCTTAATTCCCTGACCCAGGGATTAAAGCCTGGCAGTGAAAGTCCTAACCACTGGACTGCCACCTAAAATTGCTTTTGCACTAAAGCAATCCCTGGTTCAGGAAGATCTCCTGGAGGAGAAAATGGCAACCGATTCCAATATTTTTACTTGGGAAAAAACTCCATGGACAGAGGAGTCTGACAGGCTACAGTCCACAGGGTTGCAAAGAGTCGGACATGACTGAGGACACATATTAAAACTACTCTGAGTAGTTGCCACAGAGGCCACATAGTCTGCAAAGTCTAAAATATTTACTATCTTGCCCTTCACAGTAAAAGTTTGCCAACTGCTGTGCTAAATTAATATACAAAGAGACTAAGAAGGCAGGATACTCTATGGGACAACTGACCTGGTTTTTCCCACCACGTCAGTTTCAAAAAGAAAAATATATGTAGAAGGGGATTTCTAACTACCTAAAAGACAGAATTTGGGAGATAACTGGGAAATAAATGTTAATAAACAGGACTGGATCTTAGATGACATTAAGAAATAAGAGTTGATCAGCTAGGTGAAATAATGGAATTAGATCATGTAGAGAAGTATGTCCTTATTTCCCCTGGAGGAAATGGCAACCCACTCCAGTATTCTTGCCTGGAGAATCCCATGGACAGAGGAGCAGGCCCATTTCCCAGTGCAAAAGCCCACCCAGGCCCAAGCCCCACCTCAAAGGCAGGGCTAACAGCTTGGGTATGAGAAGCACTCCCACTGGAAGCCTCAGGAGGTACAGAGAAGGGCAAACCTAGAGCCTCAGGAATGCAGGAATAGCCGCAGGCCCACACTCTGGGCCAGTCCCAGAAGGGCAGCCCCTAAGGCTGTCTCCAGAAAGTCTGGCCCTTGGAGAGCGGCCTGCCCTACCTACCCGCTCCGGCCACCCCCGAAGCTGCGGACTCAGAGCCTGTGAAACACAGCCAAGAGCAAGGGGACCAGGCCTTCCCCCTACCTTGCGCAGAGGCTGCTCCAGCCACATCTCTACAGCAAGGGGAAAAATGACAAGATCCCCCCATTTCCCAGGCTTCCCACGTGGCTCGGCAGTAGAGAATCCGCCTGCAATGCAGGAGACACGGGAGATGTGGATTCAATCCCTGGATCAGGAAGATCCTCTGGAGAAGGAAATGGCAACTCCCTTGAGTATTCCTGCCTGGGAAATCTCATGGACAGAGGAACTGATGGGCTACAGTCCATGGGGTCATGAAAGAGTCAGACATGACTTAGTGACTATGCAACAACAATCATAATTTTGTGGCTTCTCAGGTGGTGCAGTGGTAAAGAATCCACGTGCCAATGCAGGAAACTCAGGAGATGTGGGTTCGATCCCTGGGTTGGGAAGATCCCCTGGAGTAGGAAATGGCAATCCTTCCCAGGACACTTCCTGGGAAGCCTGGATGAAACAGTGGCTGGTAAGCTAAGGCTCCTGGGGCTTTTATATGCAGGGTCCTGTACCTGTCTTCCTCCCCTGTCCACTGCCCGTTGCCTGCCTGCCTGCCTTTACCCAATCCATCTGCCTGGAACAATTCTGTTCTCCCATCCACATCTCAGCCTGGGGACCCTTTTCATGGCAGCACAACCCATTCCCACCCCCTCCCATTCCAGGATAGGCCTGAAAATCTTCAAAAAGAATTCCCTTTTTCACTTCTAGGATCATTTAATATCTCTGTCTGCCACCTTGCAAGGGCAGCGACTGTGCTTTTGACAAACCCTGTGTCCCTAGCACCCAGCCCAGCATCTGGCAGGGAGCAGCTGTGTTAGTTTTAAATCCATTAAATGAATGAAGGACCAAACTAAACGGAGCCCAAGAATGGGCCTCAGTGGGCCCTTTAGGCAGACATAGCACATCAGGGCCCAGAGGCTGTCAGAAGAAGAGCTCCCCACCCTGCTCTCTTAGTAACCCCTGCGCTGGAAGGCGTTCCCTTTCCCCCATCTCAGAGTGGTGCCTCCCACAGGGCATCTTCTAGCCTGGCCACAATCAGCTGTTACCTCCCCACTGCCACCACCAACGAGGGCAGGACCTGTGTCTCTTGCACTGCGCAGAGCTCAGTATAGAGCAAACACTCAGGCATTGCCTTGTAACCCTTGGGCACTGAGAACAGAGAACGAGAAGGCCCAAAGAAGGCTGGAAAAGCTCCTTTCCGAGCAGAAAGCCTCATTGGTCACTGTCCCCTGTGAGCCAGACCCTGTGCCACACACAATTCTTCATTAGAATCGGGAGAAGAGGGCATCAGGCCTCTTCCTGCAGCAGCTGTGTCCAAAGAGAAGCACCAGGCACCCTTGAAGCCCCAGGCTCCTCTTGTGCCAGCCAAATCTTTATCATTGCCCAAGCAGCTCAGCCCCCAAGAGGCAGCAGGGCCATGGTAAACAGCATGAGCTCTAGAACCCCAAAGACCTGGTTTAAACTCAGGCTGCATGGCAGTTACTTCATGCCTCAGTGCCTCAGTTTCCTCACCTGTAGCACAGGAATAAGCAATGGCCTCTTCCTCAGTGGGTCTGGTGCAGCTGGTGCCTGAAGCGCTGTGATAGCACTCCCCACTCTGGCCCCACCTTTGCAGAACAAATCCCCCAAAGGACTGCTTTCTGAAGCAATAGCAATTTCAGCATCAAAGAAGCACTTCAAGTCAATCCTGAGCAGTCAGGAATGGCCCTTAGGGCAGGCCCCAGAGACTCTAGCCTTCTCAGAAAATAGCTCAAGGGTTGAGGGGCCTCCTCTCCCTTCCATCATCCTGCCTCCCCTCTCCCTGACTCCCAGGCCAGCAAGTTCTCCAGAGATTGCCAGAGAGCAGACTGTTGGGAACTCACTGTCCACCTCCCTCAATCAGAAGGACTTATAAAGAAAATGTGAAGAATATATATCCTGGGAAATGCCCTCATTCCAGCAAATAAAAAAAAAGACACCCACTCTTTAAATGAGCTGTCAGAGGTGATACCACGGAGAGTCAAGGGATGGGGAGGGTTTGGAAGCTGGAAGAAGGGCCTTGGGGGACTTCTTCAGCTCTCAGATACTCTCTCAGGGAAACTGGCAGAACCTTCTCTATGGGAAACAGAGAGCTCCCCGCTCAGGTCCCTCTCAGCTTTAGAGAGACTAGCTGCTTCAAGGTTATCCTACCCAGGGTAGGGCTCAGCCAGGCCCACTGGCGCCTCTGGCATAAGGAACAGAAACAAGGAAATGGCAGCTGGGCAGAGAGACAGTTACACAGAAACTCAGAGTTCTCAACCCCCTAGATTCCTGCTATGCACACAGGGTGCTAGCTGTTACTCCAGACTGTCCCACACTTGGCGTCCAAGGCTGGAGAGTGGGCCAAAGGCAGTCTGTTCATGGCAAAGTAGAGCTCCAGGACCTGCCACCGTCTTGCCCTATACCCCACAGCTGCATGCTCCCAGCACCTCTCTGCAGCCCCCAAGTCCCAGGCATCACAGGACCAGCCCCAGCATGTCCTCTGCTTTGTGGTTAGGTACATGCTTCTTGGGGCCTTGCTTTTCATGCATTCTGCAATTCCCATTCTCAACCTGTTGAAGTATTTTCTGAGCCAGGAACTGTACAGTCTCCTACCTTCCCCACCCCAATTCTGGGCTCAGTCCTGGCTTAAGCACTCAGTCCCACAGAAGCTGTTCCTCAAAGCTCAAGCATGGGGCTGCCCTGGTGGCTCAGAGGTAAAGAATCTGCCTGCCCACGTAGGAGACACAGGTTTGATTCCTGGTCAGGGAAGATCCCACTTGTTGAGGAGCAACTATGAGGCACAATTACTGAGCCCACGCTCTATAGAGCCTGAAAGCAGCAACTACTGAGCCTTCGTGCTACAACTACTGAAGCCTACGTGCCTAGAGCCTGTGCTCTGCAACAAGAGAGCAGTCCCAGCTCACTAGGGCCTGCATACCTAGAACAAGGCCTGGAAAGGCAAGGCTGGAGGTCAGGAGTGGTTGTGGCAGTTTTACAGCAACTCAGTCTCGATGTGACTCCATTTCCTCCTTCCTCCAGAAGGCCAAAATTGCAAGGGTAAGTATGGGTGGTCTCTCTCTCAAAAATGGGTGGAGCAGGGCTGAACTGAAGAAAGGACCCCACCATCTCACATCCTCTTGTCTCCCCCAAGAAATGCTGCCTTCCTCTCCCCAGCATCTCCTCCCCATAATCCCTCTAGCCTGAGGGTGCTTAGACACCTCTAGCCTCCAGAATGACTGCCCCACACAGGCAAGGCCAGGTCCAGGGGGCAACAGCTGCCTCTGACCTGCTTCAGCTCCCTGGGCAGAGAAACGCCTTACCCACACTTCCCAAAGCCAAGATTCGAGAGGGAAAGCAACTGAATGTCTCCCTTCTCAGTCCACCAGGATCCCTGCTCACTAAAAGAAACACTGGTCCAGAACCTAAAGGAAGGCCTCCTGCTCTGTGACAGCGGGGTGGTAAATCACCAAGCTCCCAGAGACATCAGGGGCCTGGGTATATGAATCTGTATCCTCTCTACCCTCCATCCCCATCCTATCCTCATCTTCTAAGGGGACAAATGCGTCTGGACGCCGCCCCCACCCTCCACCCCAAATCACATCCCTCCCGGGCTGGGAGGCGGCGGCTCTGTCCCTCAGAGATAATCCTCTCTGTCCCACCATCACCTCTGCTGACGCAGTAGTTTGGCGAGCCCATACTCCCCAACATCACTGCCCTCCTCCCTGAAGGTGCCGAGCCACGCGAGGTTCAGAGACTACTCGTCCAAGGTCAGCAGCGAGGCGATGACAATGGTGGGGAGGGGGTGCTGGGAGTTGCTGACGGCGCTGACCCCATAGGCCCCCACCCTCACTGTGTCACACGTGCCCTCGACAGCGCCCCGCGGAAAACACTTCAACTCTACCACCTAACGGTCACCTGCGGCCCTGGGGCCTAAAACCTCCCCAGCTCGGGTGCCAAGGAGCCCTCCCTGGCCCGGCCCCGGCAGCGGATCCTTCCTCCAGCTCCAGCCCCAGCCGGAGGGGTCCCAGGCACTGACTACCTAGAACGGTGGCTCGTTTGGGAGGGGATCTCTGTGAGTGGGATGAAACTGGGAGGTGGCAGAAGGAAGAGCAGTCTCACCGTGCGGGAAGCACCCTGAGGCCGCGACGGTCAGGGACGACCGCAGCTGCGGCAGTGGCTGAGGCGGCAGCTCTGGAGACCGCGGCAGCAGCCGGGGCTCAACACCGAACCTGAGAGAGCCCCGCGCCGCCGCCGCCCGCCGCCAGGGCACGCCCCTCCCCCCGCCCGTTGGTCGACGGGGGTGGGGCGGGGCGAGGGAGCTTCGAACCAATAAGCGGGCGCCAGAGAACCGCCAACGGGCGATGCGCCTTTGCGTCAGGAGGCCCTGCGGCTGCGCAGTGAGAGCCCACGCCCCAGGGCCCGAGAAGTTCTCGCGATAAAGTTAGCCCTCGAGTTCGCTGTAGCCAAAGACTGGAATCGCTCAGAAGCCGGAGAAGGAAGAAGCAACTTTGAATGGACTGAACGCGCATCCACTCTCAGCGTTGGGGTTTGCACTTTCCGTCTCCGCTCAACTTGGAAGGGGCGTCCCTCGTGTTCCGCCCCCTGGAGCGGCCGTAAGGTGGGGCTCAGAGCTAGGTGGGGCACCTGGAGGTTGCCTTTTTCCCTAGGCTTCCAAGCCCGCCTGGCAGTTGATACGGGTATCGCTAGGTCCTGACCTGGAGGGGAGGAACCCTCATTCTCGCTCTGCGATCTCTGGTTTCTGCATCTTCCTCTTCCGTCTCATCTCCCTGCCTCGGAGGAAATCTCCCTGCCTTGAGGATCTGAGACGCATGCTTGGCGCCCGGCTGGCCCTGAAATGCCTCAGAACAAAGAAGGCACCGCGGGGTGGGGTTTGGGAGAACCTCTTCAGGCGCCTCCGGGGAACACAGGCTCTGCTCTCGGTCTCTGTGGAGGCAGTCGCAGTGTCAGAAGGATGCGCCTGGCTCTGCGTCCCAGGGTGCGCACCTGCACTGAGCCTTCGGAGCAAAAACGTAGCCCTCAGATCTTTAAGGGTTCTAGCCGCTGCTCCGCCTACAGGTCCTTGAACAAACAACACCCCCCTCCCCATTTCGCTGGCTGGAACAGGGTCCCTAAAGTACCCTCGGGGAATGAACCCTTCTAACAACATAACTAGGAGAGAGATGGTATGGGCGGCTGAAGGCCAGCTTCTTTTCAGAAAGACCGCGGTCACTGCTTCTGGGGAGCCTCCAAGGCTCCTACTGTTATGCCCGATGTTCGAATCCCCTAGCCGGAAGAGAGAAGGCCTCCAAGACAATGCAACTCGCAGAAAGGGAAGTTTATTGCTGACTCGAGTCAGGGCTCCTGCCACATCCAACGCAGTGGTGCGGGGTCAGAGAGCCCTGACTTGAATCAGCAATAAACTTCCCTTTCTGCGAGTTGCATTGTCTTGGAGGCCTTCTCTTCCCGCTCGGGGATTCTGACATCGGGCATAACATCTGGTGGCTCGTCCGGGATCCCTTGACTGGGGGAAGAGAACACTTCCAGGACAGAGGGGAAGGATAGAAAATAGCACCGGTGCTCAGGCAGGACAAAAAGTCTAGTGTAAATCCGAGGCCCTGCTGTGAGGCAGGAAGGTATCTGGCACGGGAGAAAGCTTTCTGTAGGGGATTAGGCCAGCCGGCGTTAAGACCAAGGCCAGTGGACGTGTTGGAAGGCAGCCGGCTCTGCGGGAAGGAGAGTTCCTCTCCTGATCCCGAGTCTGGTGAGCAATGGACGCCATTCGGTAAGGTGAACCTAGTACCGGGGGGGGGGGGGCAAGAAAACTCAGGGGGCCCGAAAACCCAGCGCTGTGTTGTAGGCTGACGTTTGTCTGTGTGTTTGTCTTGGGCTCTCCGTGTTTTTGTGTGTGTGCCGGCATTGTCTATGGTCTCGTTCTCTTCTGGAGCATCGTTCTCTTCTCTCTCTTCTGACTTATTCTCCTTCTCTTCTTCTTCTCTGATCTGCCCTCAACTCCTTTTCTTTTCGGGAGTTTCAGTGAACAGGCGAACGGTTGTGGGGGCAATTGATGAGTCCCAGCCAGGGCTACACTCTGGCGGATTCTGAAGGCCCTACAATAAGTGAGCCTCAGTAACTAGAGCCCGACTGGGTGAAACTCTCCTTTAACATCCCTAACTGAGGACGTGGTCTAAAATTCTTCGTGTGAGCACTGGTCAGGCACTTAAAGGCCATTAGGGCGCCTGCCACTTGAAGACTCCCATGAGAGGATAAGGGGGTCATGGAACGGGCTAGAAACTCCTAGGGTGCTGGCCCCCAGAAAGAAAACTTCTGTGCAATGACGCAGGCACGTAAAACAGTTCCAAAAGCACACCATAAGCCCAACCTCTTGGCCGCCACCACTCTCGGTAGGATTTTTGGTGGTTGTTCTCAGTGACTTCTTCTCTCTCTCTTCCCTACCATTTATTCTTTGATCATGGGTCAGGGAGAATCCACCCCACTTTCCCTCATGACTGACCATTTTTCGGATGTCAGGGCCAGGGCCCATAACTTGTCTTTGCTAGTCAAGAAAAGTAAATTAATAACCTTTTGCTCTGCAGAGTGGCCCGCCTTCCGGGTTGGATGGCCTCCGGAAGGCACGT